TTCATTGTTTATGACAAAATAATGCTGGACTAAAAGTAGATGAAACATGATAAACTGGCAATGTAAAAAAATGTCAGTTTATAATGTTTCATCTACTTTTAGTCTTTTGATCTTTCAGATGCAACATAAATAATTACATATTTGCACAACTCTTCTTGCTCAGCCTCCTACATGTGTATACACCATCTTTATAACTAGAAATTCTTCATAAAAATTAAAATTAGATACTTATTTTCAGTGAGTGAAAATACCTCTTTACTAATAAAAGTTATTAAATAGTTAAAGAACAAGCATTACTTTATACTATCAAAAAAAGTTTTTTAAAAAGTTAAATTTTTCTCTCAATTGTCTGTTCCCCTAAAAACAATCTTTATTTATAAATAAATGATGTATGCAGACTTATGAACCAAAATATTATGAGCACCTGCCTAATCAGGTATTGGTACATCAGGTTCCCAAAATCAAGTATAGACTTGCAAAAGTTATTTCTGCAGTCTGGTGCCAAAATGTTAACAGCAGGTTCTTTAACTGAGGCAACACATCCCATAAAATTGAGACCTGGAAAGTTTAGTAACATTTCTGTCATACTCATGAAACCATTTCTGTACAAGTCATGCAATGTGGTGAGGTACTTTGCTCTGCTGAAGGATGCCACTCTCATTATACAAGACTGGTGTCTTAAATGAGATATGTGTTACATGACAATGTACCCTCAAACAGAATATGACACAAGACCAGACTTAAAAGTCCCAAATTTCAAACTTACCAGTTACCAGGAATTAAATTTAGCCCCTCTCATTTTAATTGAAGGGAGAGTTGCTGCTTCATGGGACAGTTCAATGGAGCTGGACATTAGTTAATTCCTGCTTCAAGGCCAAAATGCCAAGAAGCAATTAAAAAAAATACAAAAGCATATAAAATATGCCAAAGTCTCAAGATTTCAGAATTCTATTTTTAAATGGAGGTATGCATATCCACCTCATATGAGCTTCTTTGTTACTTTGTTAGCCATGTATGTGAGCTGATTCTTTGCAATCATCATTGGAGAACTGCTGTTCTTCCACTATCACTGTCATGTTTAGTCTTAAATCTGCTGTGAGACCTGCATTGTCATGTCATAAAAGCATACAACTCAAATGTGGCTTCACTCAAAGAAGTCTTGCTCCAGGTTTTGTGCTCATTTGGGAATCAGAATTGATAGTAGTGTCAATGAGCATAAACTCTTAGCAATGACCCCTTTCTTGTCCCAAGTGTTTGGGAGGAGCCATTCCATTGATCTTCCTTTGATCTCTGTCTTATCATGATGGGCCAGAGTCTTATATCCTTTGACTATCCTGCAGCAACAACCTTCTGCACTTTCATTGAATGTCAGTTTTCTATGAACCAACTTTGCACAGACCTTTTGACTAGCTGAGAGATTGCAATAAACTGAAGGCTCTCACAGTTTTGCTATAGTGAATATTCTGAGTTCTAATAAAAGTACAGCCTGTTTGATCATATCCTTATTCACAGTAACAGTAGCAGGCCTACCACTGCAAAGCCTGTCACTAAGGTCAATTTCTTTCTTCACTGTCATTAACTGATCTCTCACTTCATTATGCTTACATCACATATTACATACTTTCTGCAAACATTCACTAAGATCCTGTAAATATTTGTAGCACTTTCTCTTCTCAAAAACAGAAATTTTATACCAACTTTGTGTGTCTAGACGGGTAGAAAATTATAGAAAAAAAAGAAAAGTGAAGGTAGTTTTTCACCTTAGGCTTGTGGACAATTCTATTATTAAAAACTATCAGAATACTGACTAATCATTTTAAAACTAAATTAGAACAGGCATTACTTTTTGAGAAACCCTCATATTTCTGGAAGGCAAGTTTCTATTTAAGAAACTGATTGATATGCAGCATGTTGCTCTTTGGAATCTATAAATAGATCTAAATCATTTTCTCATTTGATTTTCAAGAAAAACTAATATGTATTTCCTTTGTGGATAAAGTTTTGGACAAAATCATTAGAAGGTACCACAGAGAATTTCTTACAAAATCACATTTTTTTAAAAAAAAATTGCAGCTCATTTACTGCTACAAAACATTCTTATCAAAACATCTTACTACAGTTGAACTTACCTAAAAGTTTCAAAATATTTCAAATTTTATTTGGTATTACCAAACATATCTTATGTGCAATAAAATGTTCCTTTTATTGATACAGGTTTTTATAATTTGAAGGAAACTAAATTTTTTAAGGTTCCTATTTAATAGAAACATAAAATTCAAACTCAATTTAAAATATTTTCTAATTTAAAATATCGCGCTTTAAATTTTCTAATCTTTGTTACATTTATATATTCCTATTATTAAGTGTAGTATATAATATATTCCTGTTTTAATATTACATCTAACTACACTATTAATTATACTAGGTTCAATTTCTTGACATTAATTCTTAAACCTTCCTAAATGTAACAATTTGTAGATAAAAACTAATGATTAATGATATGTACCATTGTATTAATGTTGCACAAGTCACAATTTAAAAAAATGAGTTCTGGAAAATATTGCTTTTGTTATTTATGATGAACTCAAAAAAAAAAATTAATCAAAGACTTTATATGCAACTTATACAATGGAAAATGCAGCAATTATTGAATTATCTAAATCTTGGCTATTTTCCCCTTCTCAGAGCAATGACTGGCAGGTCTGTATTGCAAGTGTACTGAGTTTCATTCACACAGTTCTTAATTACAGAACTTTTCTATGAGTGGGTGTCCTACTACTTCAGATTTCTGCAGTAGATAAGCCGAGTTTAGATGCTTGTCTACTAGAATAAAAGAACATTGAAATTTTAACAATTTCCATATGTTAATGAATTCAACTTGAAAATATATTGGTTAAAAATGACTGACATCTTGACATCTGTCTATATTTCTGAGATGATATATTGTAATTATTTACACTATTTACATTGTTCAGACTGGAGTCTTCACCTTTATTGCCATATTCATGATGTTTTGGCCATTGTATGCTCTTCAGGTGATTGGAATGTCAAATGAAACCTTTTATTTTATCCACTGGGGTAGATTGTTCTAATTCCACTTGCCATGCCTCTTCCGGATATCTCAGTATTAGTTATCTCCCTTGAACTCAACTCTCAAGTTTTTGTTCACCTTTGCTGTAGCTAGGTATTGAACTCACAACTCTTTTGAGTCAAGTCACTGGATTCAACCAACACTTTTTTCCACTGGGCCATGTGTCCTTGAAGAAGGCCAGAGTGTACAATGGCTGAAACGTTGTGAATATGGCTAAAATATAATGACATCAGTCCAAACAATGTAAATAGTGTAAATAATACATCATATAATATAATTCCCTAGAAAAGGAAAATGTTTTTCTAAAATTATAAAACTAGATGCTGTTAAAAGGTTATTCTAGCCATTTCTATGTTTTTCCATATTATCTTAATAATTTGTCACACAAGGAGGGAACAGTAAGATGAAATAGGTAATTAAATGAATTTAAATGAAATTTTCACTGTAAAATGTTCAATCTATATGATTAATTGTCACTATTATATTAAGTGCATTGTCAAAAAAGAGATTGTGTTGAAAAATAAATATTTAGTGTATAAAATAAATACTTTTTTTCAACATTTTATTGATGCACCCAGGTACATTTCTTACTAAAATATTTGTTTATTCAGGTTGAGGAGTAAATTTTATGCATTCAATTTAGTAGAATTCATTAAATTAATGCTTTATAAACATCAGCCAAAACTGAAAGAGAACTTACCGGCAAGAAGCTGAGTAACAGAAACAATAAAGAAGAGGTGAGTTTTTTTCATAGATTTGCAGCATCCAGGCAAACTCCAAAGTAGAATCAAATGAGTGAGGAGCTGGATGAAAGCACATAAGCAAATGAATATCACAAAACATTGGTCCAAACCTAAAAAGAAAAATTAACTTAGAATTATTGAACATAAATTAATTTCAACAATGTGTCTGCTTTTTAGAGCAATCAGCTAATTGTAGCTAGTCTTTTCAAATATCACTGATAATGAATATATAAGAGTAAATAAATGAGCTGTATGGTTTTTAAATGTTACAAACATTAAGTTAATTAGGAGAATTAAAAGTATATGATTCTGGTGCAAATATTTGGACTTAAAAAAAGATTTTCAGCCAACCTTTGCCAAAACAGAAAAGTAATCTCCCTCAGGCATATTTTCGTAGAGGGGAATATGTTATGTATATTTCTTGATCAATGAAAAATAAATGATGAAAGGTGTAAAGAACAGGAAATAGTGGGAAAGAAAAATGAATGAAATTAGAAGGAAAGGAGATGGAGTAGAAACGAGTTTTACAAAACAGAATTCTTCACTAAATATGATTTAATATTTTAAATCATATTTAATAAATATTTAGTAAATTTGATGCCTAAAATTTTATAAAGCATGTGTTAGAGAGATGGTATTTATATAAAGCTCTATATTTTAATATTTTTATAGTTTAGTTAAAAAATATTTTATGCATGCTTAATGGTAGAAGTTTCAATATCAAATGCTTATTGAACCATCAGTCTGTAGTAAAAGAAGTTATAAGGAAGTACAAGGGATAATGGTATTATCTATACATTATTGTTCTTTGCAATGTGATATATAAAGTTAGAGAATTATTATAGGTGGGTTTATGATTAATTATAAAAATACTACATTTAATCATTTTTCAATGAGGAAGAAGAAAAAAAGACATGCTTACAATGATATTCATTATTCATAAGTATTTCACAATGATATTCATTATTCATAAGTATTTCTTAAAATATGTCATGTAAGTTTCTGAACCATTATGAAATTTTACATCATTAATTCTGATTATAAATCCAATATTTTACATGTAAATAACAATAAAATCAAATTACGTAGTTGAAGGAAGCCAGAAGAAGTTTTATCCCTTGATTCAGTTAAGTCACGATAAGTACATATTTTCCGAGTCCATCCATCTGAAAAGTGAAAAGAAGCAAATCCTAAGAAAAGTGCACATTCTGATTTGTATATATTGTGTAATTAGGCAGCAAATATTACAAACAGCAGACATTTTGTGTCAATTTTAACATTGTGAATAATCCTTCCCAAACAAGGAGTAAATCCCATCAGAAATTGTCTGAAGTTCATTTCAGAAAAAAATTACAAGAAATATGGTCCAAGCTTTTGACCATGTCTTAAGTCATCATCAGAGTAGGTAGAGACGATGGTGAGTTTCATAGAACTAGCAAGTGTTGTGACATAAGCAAGCTGTGATGTGCTTCTTTTTTTTTTTAATATACATTTGAAGATATTGAGAAAGTTGTACATATTTGTATATATGTGTATTTTTTTTTTATATACCAACTCTTTAACTTTTGTTTTTTGTCATGTATGCTTGCAATATAAATTTTTTCAGAAATTTGAAATGGTTGTTTTCTTCATGATTTTCATATTGTTATTTTCATTTAATGATTGGCCAGAAATCAGCAATTTATTGAGGATATGTAAACAAAATATAAATAAACACAAAATATTGCAGGAAAAATCTAATAGGATGCTGAAAAGTTCTCAGCTTGACCAAGAAGGGATTCCAAAATAAATTCTGATATTTGGTCAGATTTTCAGAACTCCCTCATATAAACAACTAAAAACATTCTGTTTAGTGTTTGATAAATTGATTCTTACAAGAAAATGATTACTGAAGCTGTTTAAAAAATTTGGTTTAAAATTGTTTTAGGTTATCAAATTTGGTATATTAGTTAAAACACCAAAAACAACTAACATTTTACTATTAGAATGTAATTTTTCTTCATAATTCTTATTTATAGTTGGAATAAAAATGATTTTTGATCAAAAAAAAAAAAAAAAAATTCTTTACCAAGTGTTTAAAGAAGTAGAACTTATGATAAACCTTTCCAAAACAGAAACTAAGATCTGGAATTGGATTGAAAGTCATGATGGTATCCATTATAAAAATTCAGAATGCAGAATAAATACTAAACACTTCAAAAAGCTTGTATATAAGATCAGTTATAAAGAATTTAGTAGAGGAGATAAAGAAATTGACCAGAGAATAGGCTACAAAGTCTAATATTAATCTAAGAACTAGAGTAATGTTCCTAAATAGCCTTGTCAGATGTAGACTTTCATATAGATGTCATGCATAGTGTCCAACTTAAGAAATGTCTTAATCAAGCCTGCACAATAAAAAACTGAAGAGCCACATTGATCACAGAAAATTAGCCACAGGCTGCAATCTTGAGTAAATTACTGCATATGAGTATGATAAACACCAATATATACAGAGAGGGATGACAAAAAAATAAATATATCCTATTTCATTTACTCAAGTACACTAGCTTCTTTAAAAAAAAAAAAAAAAAGTATTCCTCTATATAATACTAAATTTCTAATCATGTATGAGAGATGACAAGAAAATCTTTTACTTACTAGGAAGTGTAAAAAGGATTAATAAGATGTAAAAACAGTTAATTTTGATTGATTGGCTTGTTTTTAATGGTTTATATTTAATGGCAGGTTATTTAAAGAGAAAGTATTTTTCGATAATGATGTGACACTATTTAGCTATGGTAATTAATTAACTAATTAGCCATAAAAAACTGAACAGAAAATGCTAAAAATAGAAAAGAAGGGTTAAAAGAATACCCTGAAAGATATACTGTTTGATAAAAAGATTTTATTTTATTTCCTAGAATGTATGTTTTCTCAAGAAACCAAAGAATTGTATCAATGATAAATTTGCAGGAAAGCCATATGGCGATCTCTGACAATTGATTAATGATGATTGCAAAAGTGTTGGGTAAGAAAATACAAAATAACCAGAAGCGACAAAGATATCGTTTGAGAGTGCAAAGATATTAGGAATTGACCAGGCCATGTGTTAATTGTAAGAATTTTGGAAGGACGAAAAAGGATTGCACAGACAAAGTTCTAGTTGATAATTCTAAACTGCCTGGATAAGAAATCCTGAATAAGCAATGATGTCAAAGAGTTAATTGATGAAGCAAGCTCATCCACACCAGCCCGACCAAGACTCCACTGGTCAGGTGGTAGCAGTGGTGATAGGCAGAGGTAAAATAATAAGAGAGAGAAGTTACTAATGCACACCGAAAGGAATTGGTGTGAGGTACTAATGTGAGGAGGAGGGACTTTATGAGGATAGCTATCCTGCAACCTCTCCTCTCAGATGAAGGGATCCCCCCAGAAATAGGAAGTAATTAATTTTCCAAAAATGGGAAGTAATTAATTTTCCTAGCCAGACGACAAAGGGAACTTTGTAGGAATTAGAGAATTACCAAAAACCCCAGGCTTCGTTTAACCCTGCACCAGGTTTTGGTTGAAGTCCATATAAGCAAGCGCACTCAGGCAGTTCACTAGTTTATGCACAAGAGCCAGCCAGTTGCATTTTGCATTTGAAAGAGAGCTGACAGAGATTCCATGATTCTGGCCTCTGACCTTGCCTTTCTACAAAACAGCAAGTTTTACTGATGAACGAAGATAAGCCAGCACTTAAAAACTAAACCAGTTGACTTAGAAGACCAGAACTTGCCTAGAAATATAAAAGTGTCACTCTCAGAAGAAATGGGTTGGGAAAAAAAAAAAAAAACACACACACACACACACACATACTCCTGTACAGAACAGACTGATAAAAGTTGATTTGCTTCTTTCAACATACCCGAACCTTTGTGGTTTTCATTTATTTCTTTTTTGCTTGTGTGACATCACCTCCAGTTTAGACTCACCTTGCACTACAGCCCTGGCATCTGATTGATCTCATCGACCTAAGATCAAAGTCACAATGTGGTTAGGTTAGACTTGAGATCAAGATAGTTACCTTGGTAACCAGCCATTGGAAGTGAGCTGAGAACTACAGAGCTGATGTTGAACTGGTAGCATCTGGTGTGAAGCTGTTTGAAATCGACCGACCATCCCATTTGGTACCCTGACCAAAGGATCCCACGGGATAGCAATGACCACCGATCGACCGGGAGGTGGGGGTCACAGCTTAGTGCCGTGACCACTGTCACAATGATTTACTGATACCAGTCCTACTAATTAACTCATAACTAGATGAATTCATACCTTTTTCCCCCCAAGGGTATTTGTGTGTAAGTGAATATAACGAATCCAATTGGAATTGGAACTCAATTCTCCGATTTTTAATGTTGTAAAAATCTATTACACCACCTGCACATTCAAGCTTACCTGGTATTCCAGTAGGCATTTAGGTACTGACTAGACTCATCATTGCATAACTTGATCATACGAGAACTGGTGTTTCAATGTGATATGACAGTGAACTCAAAGACAGTGAAATATTAGATAATAAAGTAATGCTTCCATAAAATAATTATTTTCAAATAATTTTTATTTTTTCAAGTACTTTCAATCTCATCTGAGGCTATCTTCAGAGGGTTAAGTTGTCTGTGAGTATGTATATGTGTTTCAATAAATTCAAAGCATTTCAACTGTTATTTTTACTGCTTATGCAGCATTCTAGATTTCAAAGTTCACGTTTTTTTTTTTTGGGGGTTCCAGTATAAGGGAAGTAATTTTTCCATTTTTGCTCATACATATACAAGTTCTTTTGTTTTGTTATAAGGATTTAAAGACATTCTTGCTATACTTATAGATGACTTTATTTTTATTTATTCTCTTATAAAAAAGCTAAGTCTTCAAATATTTTGTTTTTGCTTATAATTTTTTATAGATGTATTTTCAACCAATATCTGTCTAATCTGTGAGTGTGTCCTTTTAAATGCCAAGATATTGAACTATGCTTGACCAAATGAAATTTTTTTATACATTGCTGAATTTATTCTGATGAACACAGAAGAAATGTACTATTTCTAACCCATCCCCTTCCCGGCAATGGGCCACACTGAGGAGAGTCATGTGGGCCATATGCAGCCTGCATATCATATTTTATGTAGGCTGTATACCACCATTTTCTCAGATCAATGATTAAAAATAGCTTCAAGTAAATGAACCCTGTAGGTCTTAGATAGGACCATCCTTCATCAGATTTCATGTACAGAATCAAAGAATTTTACCAAATAACAGAAATCACATTACTTAAAAGATCATCAACAACAGCAACAACTAAAATGGATAGATATAAAACTCAAAGAGGAAATAATGACATAATTAAGATGTTGACTTTCCACATTACCTTAAACAAAAATGTTTGAAAGGAAATTCCCATCAATACTAGAAAAAGTGATTAACTTGAGAAACCTATTTTTCTTAAAAATTGTTTTAAGAGAAAGATTATAAATTTTAATCAAAAGTAATGCTAATGAATACCAAATGTTTTCTTATAAAGAAACAACTATCTTTCTGTTTATTATTAAATTAACAAAGTTTGAAATTAATTTTGTCTTAATTTCTTTATTTGCAAAATTAGAATTATTTAGTGGATTAGTAAGCTATTAATAAATAAATTAACATAAATGAAATTTCAGTACTAGGAAAGGAGAAACACTATTACATTTTGTTTTCAGAACAATAAATACACAAACATGATGTTGTAAACAGATTGATAGCACACAAAGACAGATGTATGGTGCTAGCCAGCCATGTTTGAACTGGCTACTTTATTACTAGAAAAAAAAGGTACTTTTTTTTTTTTTAAGAAAAATTCTACAAAAGAGAATTCCAAATTAGGACATCTCTCTTTTCATCTGATATTTTATGTGATGTCTGGCTATAAGTTGTATTTTGTGGGGTGGGGGGAGCCTCATGACTCAACCTGACCTTGTGGTCACAGTATCAGGTCTCTGAGTATGCAAGTTGGTGTTGACTGGTAGGTGACTAGATACCGGGCTGATCTCATTGGAAATGATCTCTGGTAGGGAGCTGTGAGGGATCTTTGGTTGGCTAACTGCAGTGTTGTTTCCAGGATAAGAACTATCTTCCTTTAGGTATTGTTGGTTGCAGTGGATGACCTGCC